GCAGGCCCTAAGGAATTATTAGCCCAGGGCTGATAGTAGGCCCCAAAGTTCATTAACTTGGCGCTAATAGCAGGTCCCAAGACTTACTGGTTGGAGCTAATAGTAGGCCTAGAGATACTAGTTTACCGTAGCAATCTCGCGAAGATGGGAGCAGGGCAACCCAAGTGTAAGGGACTCCCTTTCCATTACCCAGGTCATGGACTTGCCTTAGTCGCATAGATAGGACTAAGGAAGGCCCCTTGGGCTTGGTACTAAGGCACAACATGGCTGATAGCAGGCCTGGTTGTGGCCTTCACCTTCGGAAGCTGGGGAGCTCATGGTTAGGTGGCTAAGAGTGGTGGTTTAGCTGAGGTGAACATAAACATAGCCAATAGTAGGCTAATGGAGTCTTGAGAATGCATGTACTGGCTAAATAGAACAAAGAAGGCAAGTGAAGCAGCAAGGTTTACCACTACAAGTGCACTTGTTAAGGTTCAAGCTGAAAATGCAAGTGCAGCGACAAACACTCTCGCTGCAACTGCACTTATTGAGGCTCAAAAAGAGAATTGCAGCACCAAACACTCCCGTCGCAACTACACTTGTTGAGGCTCAAAAAGGTAGTTGCAGAGGCAAACAGATAGTACATAGTACATGCAGAGGGACACGTGGCATCTTCAGCCTGGTGGTTCAAGGCAAAATAATCTGTGTGATCCTTAGAGACACTTGTCTTCTCTTTATTTGGCCACTTGGTGTCCTCTTGATACAAAGGAAAAGGCTATAAATAGGACCTATTTCCCAAGGTCGAAAGAGATGAATATTGGGGATTTGAGGGAGATACTGCCCATTTTGGCACGACCATTGTCTTCTTTTTGAGCTGCTTACTTCACTCTCACCCAGTTGCACACTCTCCAACTGCCCAGACAGTTATTGCTTCTCAACACCAAAGAATAGCAATACTTTGTCATCAATGAAATTTCTGCAAAGGAATTATGGAAGTAACTGAAAGAGAAATACATGACAAAGAGTAGAAAATCAGCTCTACTTGAAGAAACAATTCTTTTGTTTCTAGTACAAAAGAGGTACTTCAATGATAGGCCATCTAAATGGTTTCAATAAAATTATAGCTAATTTATTGAATCTAGATGTTGAAATTGAAGATGAAGATAAAGCATTGTTGTTGTTAAATTCCTTGTCTGACACGTATGATCACTTGACAACCACATTACTATATGGAAATGAGAAAATTAGATTGTGGAGGCTTCAAATGCCTAAGTTAATAATGAGTACATGAAGAAGGATAAAGAGACCTGCAGTGACACTTCTAGTAGAGCTTTGACAGTAAGGTAGACCTTGTTCAAAGTTGGCAAGAGCTTCAACTGATAGATTTGATCCCGCGAAGGATCAGTGTGGCTATTGTCACAAGAAGGGGCATTGAAAGAAGGATTGTCCAGCTTTGAAGAAGAAAGAAAAAGATGATTCCGATTCCAATGTAGCAGATGATGATTCTGATGATTCTGAATTTTAGGTGGCCTTTGGTCACTTGTTTGATCGTGGAAGATTCACATTTGTTGATATGGAGAAGATCTTGTGGAAATCTACTTCAGATCTTGGTGGAGCTTTGGCATCATTTTGTAGCTTCTTGGAGGCATTGTCTTTTGGCGATCTTCCTTAGATCCTTGGTGACTTCGTTGAAGTCTTGTTTTTGACTTATGATCATTTGCATTGTTCTTCTGCTTCATATTCGAAGACACCAATAATGGTTGTTGAAGATTGGAGAGAAGATTGTTGAGAAGAAACTTGAAGATGAATCTCATGATTGCAGAAGGACAACTTTGGAAACTTTGTTTGTAGCCTTCTTGTTGTATTTGGATCGATCTCTCAATCTGCTGTTAGATTTGGAGGAGATAGATCATTTGCAAACTCAATGGAGTCAATTTGAAATTTAAAGTTTGAATTTGGTATCGCTTTCGGATTTGCTTAGAAGGAGAATTTGATGCCTCCCATTGTTTTGGATTAGTCTCCTCAGCATTAGATCAAGAGGTTTGTACATCATGGTTTGTTTGAAATTGTTGAAGTTGACTTGTTTGGCGTTTGGAACTTGGCACCATGATGGTGTTTTGAATTTGGTTCCTTATTGCAGAATAATTTGAAGAATTGGTTCGATTCATTCTGCAATTTGTCTTAGATAGGCTCGATGTATCTTAGGCATTCACTTGGTTCATTTGGCTTTTGTTTTGTGCTCACTCTGAAACACTTGTTTAGATTGGTATCTCGCCAATGTGGAGTTCTGTCCCCAAATTTTGGTGTGTAAATGGGGGTGCAAGTAGTGTACAAGAGCAGAGTGAGCAAGAGCATCTGAGAGCAAAGCAAAGTGTGAGTGAGTGTGAGTTGGGTTTGAGAGTCTCTTCCTCCACCATTGTTGTATTTGTTTGTTCTCTTGAAATTAGTGAAATTCGCTCCTGTGGACATAGGCGATTTGTTGAACCATGTAAAACTTGTGTGGTTCTTGTCTGGTTACTTGTTTTGTATTTGTTTTTGAATCCTGGGCACAACATGAACCGTGTATAGCACAGGGATTATGCTAGTATATATAATATAATTCAATTGTCAATTAGTGTGTTTTTCTAACCTACTATTTGTACAAATTCTCTTAGAATTTTTAATTCAAAGAATAAATCTTGATGTTTGAAAATCCATATGTTTCAAGAAAGATCTTCAAGATTAATATTTTTTAAGATTATCACCTCTTAACAATTTTAACATTTTAAAATTAAAAGAGAGAGAAAAGAAGAAATTGGTAGTTTGAGAGGTGATTGAAACTATAAAAAGAAACAATAATGCTTGGTGACCCGAAAATTCATGGTTTGAATGGTTCGAATGTGTCAAAACGGCGTCGTTTTGATACATTCGAGCCATTCGGACCCCCTAAATTCGAGCCATCAAACATTTTTAAAAAAGAAGAATTGTTGACTTGACTAAAAACAAATATAGCAATTAAAAATTTTGATAGCAAAGTCAGAGGAATCAATGCTCCAGTTTCAATTAATTATGTCACAAACATTTTATATGGATTGAGCCTTTCAACTAATTATGTCACATACATATTATATGGATTGAACCTTATGTTGGGATTGGGATTGGTGTTGTGCCTTGTGGCACAACACTCATGTTGTGAGGTCTCGTTGAAAGTATGTCCTGAGTATTTTTTTTTTTTTTTTTTGAATTTGAACTGTTTATATTATATGATTTATTAAGTAGATTATTTATAAAAAAATTTTGGGTAACTGGACATATGTAACACTATGATCAACCTTAATTATGTTTAAAAAATTATCAAAGTTATACCAACCGTTTGTTTTTGTTTAAAACAAATGTAGTCTTGTTATGAGGTTACAAATGTCCAATTAATCTTTTTATTTATTTATTATTTTTATGTATGATTTACTTGACGAACCTTATAATATAAACAGTTTGGATCATAAAAATAGATTTAAAACATGCCTCGACGAGCTTCACAACAACCATACTATGGCAGTAGGCACAACACCTATTCCAAATCCACCTTACGTCAGTGAAAGAAAAATGGGGTCTTCTTCAAGTTGGGTGCCATTATTTGGAGCGCAAGGCAATGGCTTTGCATTTGTGCCGGCCCTAGTCATGTTCGTAGTAATGGTGGTGGTGGTGGTGGGATGATAGTCTTAATAGCAGTGGTAAGGTGGTGGTTGGGTGATATTGAAAGTCGTGGTTACGGTGATGATGGTGGTAGTGTTGGTAGTGGTGGGGGTGAGGTTGAGGTGGTAAAGTGGTAGAGATGGTGGTCTTGGTTTTAGTGTGGAGATAGTAATGAAGTAGTGGTATTGATAAGATTTTATTTTAGAAAATATTGTTTTACTTTTCAAAGTAGAAAATATTTCAGTCCAAGTAAGTTATGTTTTTTGTTGATTCTCATTTCTTATTGTATCAATCGCTAGAAAATATTTTTTGCTCAAATAAATTAGCCTAAAGGTAATAAAGATTTGGGAACCTTTGATTCTCTCCATTACATATTCAATGACCATAAATTTGGGAAGCGAATTTATCATTATTCCAAATTAAAGAAAAGTCATTTTCATAACCGTTGAACACGGCCCTGGGTATAGGCCCACCAGGCCATGGCTTAGGCCCCCCAAATAGACCTAAAACAGGCCCCCCTCCTATTATAGTTTAGTGTAATATATTAGGTATGTTTTAAGTCAAAAAAATAAAAATAAATGAAGGCCTAAACTAACTTAAAATAAATTGACCCATTAAAAAATTAAAAGGTCCATTCAAAATTAAAAAGGTCCATTCTCTCTCCCTATCTAATTCCTAACCCCAACTCTAAGGGGTTGTTTGGGATGATCTAAATAAGTGTACTTTTTGACTTTTTATGAAATATGGGTTGGATTTGGGTTGGGTTTGAAGTGATGTGTTAGAGAAGTGATGTGACTTAAATAAGATGATGTGACTTAAATAAGAAAGTGACTTTTTGACTTTTTAACTTTTTTGAAGCTTCCCAAACTTGCCCTTAATTCAATTTTCCCAAAAATTTGAGAGAATCAGCACAACAGAGCACTAACGAATTTCTCAAGAATTCAGTACAAGTATAATTGATTTATTTGCTTCTAAAAATGCAAGAAGAACGATAATCAAGTGATACTTATTAATTGTTGTAATGTAATACTAAGTATTTTTTATGATTTTGACAAAAATCTTTTGTCATTTACCTTCAAAAAAAATTTCGTTGAATGAAAAAAAAAATGTAAAGGGCCCCAAATGATCTAATGATATTTATTAGTTGATTATCAGTTTTGGACTCCGAAAATCTTAAGGCCGGGCCTGCCGTTGAATTATGTGATGGAGAACTTTCATTGTAATGGAGAGGATAATAATCCAACCTGATTTTGTCCAATAACAATTACCATTACTACCTCCCACCAGAAAAATAAATGAATAAAAATTAAAGAAAAGAAAGAGAGAGAGAGATGGGTGAAGAAACTAACAAGTATAGATGAAGCACTTCCAGATGTTGAAGCATGTACCGCTTGGGAAAGCAGAATGCTCTTGAGCCATCACTTCTAGAGGAGAAAAATCTTTCCATGCCAGCTTAGGGTTGCGGCCGAGAAGATCCAAAGCCAGGTCTAGTATCACATCAATTATACAGATTCGATATTAATCAATAATAATATAACTTGTACAAAAACAAAACACATAATTATGAACATAAAATTTACATATGATTTTCATTCATTCTAGATGCAGTAGAGACATACTCACAAATTGTGTTTCAGAACAAGGAACATAATACATTAATCAAAATATTGATTTCATGTTCTTAATTTTTTGATCAAATGACTATTTCATGGAGATCACAGACAATAATCACGAAGTCATGCTCAGCTCATGTGAGTTGCAATTTAATTCAACAACCCTTTTGTTTGTTTAGGAGAAATTATACTAAAAAAAAAATAAAACCTATATACTAAAAGGACATTTTTAGGATGTGTTCCCCCAAAACAAACGGAGGGTAAGTACTGCTAATACTCACCATAGAATCCAACATTTATGGCAAAACGCATGAGCGTGGCGCCCGCTTCGCCTTCATAAGGTTTCGATTTCTCGTCATCTCTGGTGACAGACAGCAAGAACAGAGTCATCTTCCTCTGACCATGCATGGCAGCCAAGTGGAGAGGCAGAAAGCCATCATTGTTCCAGATATTAGGCAAGTCTGGGTTTTTCTCCACAATCAACTTGGCTTCAATAATATTGCCAAGCACTGCAACTGCATGAAGTGCTGTATTGCCAAAGTAGTCAGTCAAAGCCAGTGCCTCCGGCTGCATCAACTCCACTAGTTTCCTGACAAACAGGATCCCCTGCCTTGCCTTAACCGCCAGGAGAAGAGGCGTCTCCGAGAGGGCGGTGAGACGGGCAGTGATCGCGTTGGGGTCATTTTCAAAAATTTTACTGGCATTCTCCCAGTTGCCTTGGAGTATGGCTATGTGGAGTGGCAGGTAACAACTTATGTCTCTCTCTGCTGCTGCTGAAAATTAACAAGAACAAAATAACAGTGATTATTTTCTTTCTTTCTTTCTTTTGGGGAACTTTTGATTTTGGGGTCATGAGTGTTGTGATCTTACCAGGGATGTCATGATCAAAGTTAGGGATGTTAGTGCTATTCATCCATGATTGTGTTGTTGAAGGCAAAGCCATCCTTGATGGAACAAAGACAGACCACAGGCTCTCTGTTTTGAGCAAATCAAAATGCAGTTTTCATCAGTTTTGGCGTAACACTCCAGGCCCGCCTTGGCTGACTTTTCTTCCCTGTGGCATATTTGAATTGTTCAATTCATTAGATGTTAATTAATTTAATTATCTCATATTCACTCAGGGCCGGCCCTGGCATGGGCAAGCAGGCCGTATCCTTCAAAATAAATTTAAAAAAAAAAGGAGTTTTTCTTATTATGATTTATGGTAATATATTAGGTATGTTTTAAATTTAAAAAAATTAAAGAAAATTTAAATTAATTTAAAATAAATTGATTCATTTCAAAAAATTAACGTTGCTATCTATTGAAAATAGATCCAAGAAATAGATCCCTCTTATTATAGTTTATTGTAATATATTATGTATGTTTTAAATTCAAAAAAAATTAAAGAAGATTCAAACTAACTTAAAATAAATTGACCCTTTAAAAAATTGAAAGACCCATTTAAAATAATTAGCATTGTTATTCATTAAAAATGATTTTATAAAAAAACTAGATTATGCAAATATGATTAATTTATTTGTTTCTAAAAATACAAGAAGAGCGAGGATTAAGTAACACTTATTAGTTATTGTAATGTAATACTAAATATATTTTGTGATTTTGGTATAAATTTTTTATTTTTTATCTTCATTTTTTTTTCATTTAATAAAAAAAATATAAAAAACTTCAAAAATTTATTAATTAATTATTAACTTTGGTTCTCGAAAATCGCAGGCCGGCTGTATTCACTCTTCTTAACAAAAATATCCAAACGAAATGATTGTCTTTTAAGGTCTTGACTCAGTCTCTCTCTCTCTAAGAAACCCACATGTTTTTAAAACTAAAACTGCATCAAGATTGCAGCAATCATCAAGCAAGGAATTTTTCATTCACGTTATGCCATTCTTTTACCAGCAATGCTAGGTATCATGAAAATTTTGTCATGAAAATAATCATGAAAGTTTTGTAATCCTTGAATTACACTTAGAATAAAACACCACACGCTAATCAAGATAATCCAAAGATCATAAATTTTTCATAATCATTTTCATGACAAAATTTTTATGATCCTTAACTTTTTCCTTCTTTTACATATCTAATTATCATTTTGGTTTTAAAATTGCTATCGGATGACAACATTTTCGCGAATTTCATTGGTTGTCGGAAGTGTAGGTCTTGTTTCTTGCTATTGGATGACAACATTTTCGTGAATTTCATTTGTTGTTGTTTGTCTAAGTCCTTGTCTCTATACTTGAAAAAGAAGTAAGAAATATGTATATTTATGAACGAGGAGGATCTCCTTCATTCTAAAATTTAGACTAATGGGCATTATTTAGGTTCATGAGACCTAACATGGACCTTGTTTTAAAAAGGGATTTTTATTGATAAGTTCAATTTAGAAGTGTTTTAATCTAAGAAGTCCATGAAGGAATTTTTTTAACCCATTTAGTCCCATGTATGTATAGTTTTATTTCATAAAGTCCATTTTCTTGATTTACATTATTTTCTTGGACACTTATGCCCTTATATTTAATTTTGATACCCTTATAAATATTTTTTGAATGATTAGCAATTTAATGATGTGAACATTCATATTTTAAAATTCACATTGGTAGGAATGTAAAATTGGCCCGTGGGCGGCCCGAAACCCGGCCGCGAGCCGGGGCGGGCCCGGCCCGCTGACAATGTGAATATTCACATTGATATATTAACATCAACATTAATAGGAGTGTAAAATTGAACCCTGTCCCGTGGAGGCGCGAAACCCGCCGCGACCCATGGCCGGCCGGGGCGGTCCCGGTCCGGCCCGTCGACAATGTGAATATTCACATTGACATGTTAACATTCACATTGATAAGAGCATAAAATTGGACCGCGACCCATGGGCGGCCAAAGCCTGCCCGCGGCCCGGGGCGGGCCCGTCCCGGCCCGTTGACAATGTGAATATTCACATTGACATTTAACATTCACATTGATAGTGGTATAAAATTAGTCCGCGTCTCGTAGCTGCCCAAAACCCGCCATGGCCCGTGGCGGGCCGACCCGCCTGTTGATAATGTGAATGTTCACATTGACATGTTAACATTCACATTGATAAGAGTATAAAACTGGACAGCAGCCCAGGGCGGGCCGACCCGGCCCGGCCCGTTGACAATGTGAATATTCACATTGACATGTTAACATTCACATTAATAGGAGTGTAAAATTGGCCCCCGTCCGTGACGGCGCGAAACTCGCCCGCGGCCATGGCGGGCCCGGCCCGACCCGTTGATAATGTGAATATTCACATTGACATGTTAACATTCACATTGATAAGAGTATAAAATTAGCCCGCGCCCCGTGGCTGCTCGAAACTAGCCCACAGCCCGTGGGCTGCCCGGGGTGGGCCCGGCCCGGCCTGTTGACAATGTGAATATTCACATTGACATGTTAACATTCACATTGATAAGAGTATAAAATTAGCCCGCGCCCCGTGGCTGCTCGAAACTAGCCCACGGCCCGTGGGCGGCCCGAGGCGGGCCCGGCCCGGCCTGTTGACAATGTGAATATTCACATTGACATGTTAACATTCACATTGATAAGTGTGTACAAGTGGCCCGTGACCCGTGTGCAGTCCGAAGCCTGACCTCAGGCCGGGGCGAGCCCGACTCGTTGGCAATGTGAATATTCACATTGACATGTTAACATTCACATTGATAGGAGGGTAAAATTGGCCCGCAGCGCGTGGGCGGCTCGAAGCCTGATCGCAGCCCGAGGCAAGCTTGGCCCGACCCGTGACAATGTGAATATTCACATTAACATGTTAACATTAACATTGATAGGAGTGTAAAATTTGTCCGCTGCCCGAAGCTCACCCGCGGCCCGGGGTAGGCCCGTACCCAAACCCGGGCCGCGCCACGGGCTTCAGGCCGCCCGTGGAACGCGAGTCAATTTTACACTCTTATCAATGTGAATGTTAGCATGTCAATGTGAATATTCACATTGTCAACAGGCCGGGCCAGGCCCGCCTCGGGCCGTGGGCGTATTTCAGGCAGTCACGGGGCACGGGCTAATGTTACACTCTTATCAATGTGAATGTTAATATGTCAATGTGAATATTCACGTTGTTAACGGGCCGGGCCCGCTCTAGCCCGGGGCTGGGCTTCGGGCTGCTCATGGGTCACGGGCCAATTTTACACTCTTATTAATGTTAATGTTAATATGTCAATGTGAATATTCACATTGTCAACGAGTCGGGTCGGGCCCGCCCTGGGCAGCGGGCGGGTTTCGGGCCGCCCACGGGCCAATTTTACTCTCCTATCAATGTGAATGTTAATATGTCAATGTGAATATTCACATTGTGAACGGGCCGGACCGGGCTCGCCCCGCGCCGCCCACGGACTTCGTGCCGCCTATGGGACGCGAGTCAATTTTACACTCTTATCAATGTGAATGTTAACATGTCAATGTGAATATTCACATTGTCAACAGGCCGGGCCGGGCCCACCCCGGGCAGCCCACGGGCTGTGGGCTAGTTTCGAGCAGCCACGGGGCGCGGGCTAATTTTATACTTTTATCAATGTGAATGTTAACATGCCAATGTGAATATTCACATTATCAACGGGTCGGGCCGGGCCCGCCCAGGGCAGCCCACGAGTCGCGGGTGAGTTTCGGGCCGGCCACAGGCCGCGGGCTAATTTTATGCTCCTATTAATGTGAATGTTAACATATCAATGTGAATATTCACATTGTCAACGGGCCGGGCCGGGCCGGGCCCGGGCTGTCCACGGGTCATGGGCCAATTTTACACTCTTGTCAATGTTATTGTTAATGTTAATATGTCAATGTGAATATTCACATTGTCATGCTAACATTCACATTGATAAGAGTATAAAATTGGCCCGCGGCCTATGGACGGCCAAAAGCCCACCCGCGGCCCGAGGCGGGCCCGGTCCGGCCCGTTGACAATGTGAATATTCACATTGACATGCTAACATTCACATTGATAAGAGTATAAAATTGGCCCCCAATCTGTTTTTAGTCGGCAAAACACCAACAATCGGCGACTACTCTGTTTTTTAGTCGCCAAAACCATCACTTTTGGCTACTAAATTATTTTAGTCGCCAAAAACCGTCACTTTTGGCTACTAAACAACCTGTAGTCGCTAAAAACCCTACATTCGGCGACTAAACTGCCTTTTAGTCGCTAAAACCGTTATATTCGGCGACTAAACTCTTTTAGTCGGCAAAACTGATCAACTTTGGCGACTAATTCCATTTTAGTCGCCAAAAACCGTACTTTCCGTGACGAAAAATGATATTTTAGTCGCTGATTGTGCTTTTTGTTGTAGTGATGAGACCTAACATGGACCTTGTTTTAAAAATTTAAATCATTTATTTTGTTTGGCTCTTTCTATAATTCATTCACACAAAATATTAGGCCCTTCTAATAATTGTACTTTATTTAATTTATTATGTTTGTCACAAAAAATACATGGCTTATACCCTCATATATATATATATATATATATATTTGAGTGACAAACGCGAGAAATTGGAGAGTAAATTGGTGATAAATCTAATCTATGGAGGGTATAAGGCATTAAGTCTAGTGAATATTTTTTGTTGGTGAGAGATCCACCTTTTGTGAAATAACTTGGCGAGAAGTCATTTTGTTATTTTACGATATTTTGTTTCAAATTTTACTTCTTAATTTATTTGTTGACTTTTTTATCTATTGACTTTTTGTTGACTATTTGTTCAAATTTATTTCTGTTTAAATTATTTTCTATCTATTCAAAAAAAAAATTTAACTATCTATTCAATTATTTTATCTATTCAATTTTTGTTGTTTATCTGTTCAATTTTTTTTTAGTTATGATTAAAAATGATCTAATTATAATATTTGGGATAAATAACACCACAAAAGTTTGTGTATCATAGTATTACCTAAATGTTTTATGGTATAATAATATATGTATTAATATTAAATATTTTTTGCAATTCTTATAGATTTTCTTTACTCATCTAGTAATTTTTGTTTAATTTTTTTTTTGTTAATAAGAGTAAAATAGACATTTTAAAAAATTAATTTATTCTATTAATTTTTTCGTTAGTTGACCTTAACGGTTGACTAATGAAAGGATTAAATTATAATAAAAATTTAAATCTTAAAAAAAATGAATGTAATTTTTAAAACGTGAAGAGCTATTTATATTAGAGACAAACATTAAGAGGTGTCAGTGTAATTTATCCTAATATCTTCGCCATTGATTTGCTATTGCATTTCCCAAATACCATTTATTTATAATGTTTCCTTATTTTTTTCCTTATTTTTCGATTTTTACTAAAATCAAAATATATTCATTTATTCTATTTGAATTGTCAACGTCAAAAGAAATTTTGTTTCCTTCTCCATCCCTCTTTTGCTTTCGTATACAGCTCTATCTTTTGTTTTAAATCTTTTTGTTTGAACCTTCCATACCAATCAACTATGTAATTTTTTGATTCGTATTCACACTCTTTATCTTAGTGAACAAGAAATATATAGAGCACAAGAAGTCAAATTCACCCTTTTTTTAAATTTTTTATTTTTTACGTCGGTATCAATAAATTCACCCTTCATCTCACTTCTCCTCTCCACACACACAAACACAGAGAAAAGAGAAAGAAAAAAATAAAGGGAAAAAGAAAGATGGAGATCTGGTTCATCATCATAACTACCCTATGCATCTCTGCTCTCATCAAATCTCTCTTCAATCTAATCCTCTCCCCATCTTCTTCCTCATCCTACAAGAACCTCCCTCCGGGCCCGGCCACTGTACCAGTGATTGGAAACTTCCTATGGCTTCGCAAGTCATTATCGGAGATTGAACAAATTCTCCAAGACCTCCGGGGCAAGTACGGCCCCATCATCACCCTCCGGATAGGGCATCGTCCAGCCATCTTCGTCAGCAGCCACTCCATCGCCCATCATGCCCTTATTCAAAACGGTGCCCACTTCTCAGATCGCCCCAAGGCCCTCGCCACTAACAAAATTGTCAGCAGCAACCAACACAATATCAGCTCCGCCGCCTACGGCCCCACCTGGCGCCTCCTCCGCCGCAACCTCACCTCCGAGATCCTCCACCCCTCCCGCGTCAAATCTTATACCCACGCCCGCCAATGGGTTCTTGGAATTCTGATCCACCGCCTTCTGAATTCCACCGAGGACTCCTCGGCCAAAGCGGTGAAGGTGGTGGATCATTTCCAATACGCTATGTTTTGCTTGTTAGTACTCATGTGTTTTGGTGATAGGCTTGATGAGAAGCAAATTACACAAATCGAGACGGTGCAACGCGCGATGCTATTGAGGTCTAGTCGCTTCAATATACTCAACTATTGGCCCAAATTAGGGAAGATTGTGTTTCGCAACCGCTGGAATGAGCTCTTGCGGATGCGCCGGGATCAAGAGGAAGTGTTGATTCCTCTTATAGAAGCCCGAGTCGATGTTGTGAAACAACGACGACAAGGGAACCAAGAAGAAGAAGCGAGCGTGGTGGCATATGTGGATACGTTGGTGGATCTTGAACTGCCCGACGAGAAGAGAAAGCTCAACAACGATGAGATGGTGAGCCTATGCAGCGAGTTTCTCAACGCGGGCACTGATACTACATCGACTGCTTTACAGTGGATCATGGCTAACCTGGTGAAGTACCCTCGGGTTCAGTCCAAGTTGTACAAAGAGATTATTGGGATAGTGGGCCTGCCACCACCCCTGCCCCGAGGAGATAAGAAAGAAAAGGAGATCCTCCTCGTAATAAATGAGGACGATCTACATAAGATGTCGTACTTAAAAGCTGTAGTATTGGAAGGGTTGAGGCGTCACCCACCGGGGCACTTCGTACTGCCCCACACGGTGACTAAAGATGTGGAGTTGGAAAGCTATCAGGTGCCCAAGGGTACAATGGTAAATTTCATGGTGGCGGAGATGGGGTGGGATCCAAAGGTATGGGATGAGCCCATGGAGTTCAAGCCCGAGAGGTTCTTGACAAATAGCGGTGGCAATGGAGGAGAAGGGGAAGGAGAAGCGACGGTGGTGTTCGATGTAACAGGAAGCAAGGAGATCAAGATGATGCCATTTGGAGCGGGGAGGAGGATTTGTCCGGCAAGTGGTTTGGCTCTGCTTCACTTGGAATATTTTGTCGCCAATTTGGTTTGGTATTTTAAATGGACGGCTGCCGATGGAAATGATGGGGATGTGGATTTATCGGAGAAACAAGAATTCACTATTGTGATGAAGAATCCACTACGGGCCCACATCTCCCCTAGAGGCTAAGGTATAAACAAATAAATGCACACTAGTAATACATATATATGTATTTTGAATTCACAATGTAATACATATATATCCTACTTTGAATTCACAATGTAATGCATATATATGTATTTCTGTAATGTACACCCACCTATACCTTGAACCACTTCCAGAGTAAGAAGATAATACGTAACTTTTTTTTTTTTGGTTTTTGCTTTGTTCTTTTCCATGATTTTGTTGTTAATACGTAACTTTTTTTTTTTTGGTTTTTGCTTTGTTCTTTTCCATGATTTTGTTGTACATAGCTGTCGAAGAAGGACAATCGTGTATAACCACGACGGGTAGCCTAGTTGTTCATTGGATTTGTTTCTTATATGGTCGATTTAGTTTCAACTTTTATCAGTTCATTATTTTAATTGAATTATGTAATTAGGGATGTCACTTGATTTTCAGATTTACATTCCTAGAATAGGGTCAAAAATACTTGCATTGGACATAATTCCGGTTAAACAAAAAAATAATAGAAATAATATATATGAATTTCATTCCAGATCCAATATATAAAAAAATCCCAGATTTAGTTTTTGTTTATTACATAAATTTAATAGATATTTATTTCATGATCAATTTGTGAAAAAAATCACATGTCTGCCACATTAACATATTTAAAATGACAAATTTTTAAAGCGATTTTTAAATTGAAATGAAATAATCACAGATAATTATATAATTTGAAGACTTATGTAAGGGTGGTAGTTGCTAACATGGTTTCACATGGGGAGGGTGGCTCATTTGGTTTGGAGATTTATGGGAGATATTTGGAAGAACATTCACAATGGATTTGTTCACAAAATTACAAAATGTATTCATTTTTAATCATTTCATCGTGTTACTAAACATGGCCTAAGTTTAAGATATTTGAAGTGAAGATTACGGCATGCTTTTTAGGATAGCTTAGGTGTTTCTTTTTCTTGGAAAGGGATTTAGAGCTCTAAACCCCTTCTACTGTTTGGTTTTTATTTTTATTTTTATATTTTTATTTTTTAGACAACCGCTTGGGAAAAATTTTATGGATAATTTTGTCCATCCAAATTTTGTGGCTTGGTATTGGTGTAGTATGTGCAAAGATGTGCATGATATTGAAATAGTGGTTATAGAGATGTGGGCTTTGATATTGTTATTTTGTTATGTTGAGTTTTCTGTGAAGAGTAATAGAGTTTATACATTGTTAAAATGTTATTTAGGGATTTTACAGTAGCCTTGCACATAAATTTAGGACATTTACAGAGGCCTCACTATCATTCGTGAGAAAGGATAAAACCAAACAGAGATTGAAATAGACTCGGAAAAAGCTTACACCCTTTAAGAAAGGGCCCAATCCACTCTCCTTTTCAAGGAAATAGTGAATGAGTGCAGAGCCTTAAGGAGAAGATGTAACTGTGTAATCAATCAAGCATATCTGCAAGGAAGGAAATCAATGCGCAGATAGATTAAGCTAGTATAGAAATTGTTCAAGATGAACCCTGGTTGGTCTAGATCAGCCCCTTACATATGGGGGGTCTATTGTTAGTTGACCTCTCTGGGGTCTCTTTTGTTAGGGCTTAGTCCTCTTCTAATCCTTTGAATTAAGAAAAAAATGTTATTTGCTACTCTTTTGTTAAGATCCTACAAACGGACACATGATGCTGATTTGTTTTGTTTCATAGTTAAGCTTCCTAAGAATTTCAGCATTCCCAATTAATCAACTAAGGGTAAATATTGAAAAAAAAAAAAAAAAAAAAAAAAAAAAAAAGTTAAATGTCTCTCATATTTCCACAGATTAAAGTTGAAGTTTTGAAAATTGAGAAACATGATGAGCCTCTCCATAAGCTCTTAGTGGAATTGATATCGGGGATTCGGATAACCAAATTGGTCGTGGGGTTTACATTCATGAAGTCCTCATCATGGTAACACACATATTTCTCATCTCTTAATAATTCATATCAATTCTTTTATTGGACTATGGTTTTTAATTTTTAATAATTGTTTAGGAAATCTCGCGGCGCAATCAGTGGATCCTTTTATGTTCACCGGCACAAACCTGAGTTTTGTGAGTTGTTCATTGTGTGTGGAGGGAAATTGCTTTTTCTAAGGGAAGACAATAATGAAGGATTTATAGAGGATGATCAAGGAGTCATCGTTGCTAAGTTTAAAGAAAAGGGTAGTTTCAGAGGTTGGTTAGGGAAAAAGTTGAATGAAAATGGAAATAATGAGAAATTTCACGGTAGCCCATCACCAGTTTCATCTTCAACAAGAAATGGTTTCTCAGATCAATGGGAAAATTGTGTGCAAGAGATTGAAAGTTACTTCAATCAATTGTTGTCTTCAAATTCTGATGAAGAAGGGTTAGAGGTAGAGAATGACACCTTGTGGAATAGTCAAAGAGAGCCAGAGAAAGATATTCCTGAAATTGTGGTAAGTTTTGCTATTATATGGATATTGTTTTGAATTGTGTGGCCACAAACAGTCTTGCTAAATTTTAGAGTTGTTAGGTAACTAATGATGCTTTTGTTCAACAAGTCCACTTAGATTGCTTCTCCCAATGAATTTGCATTCTTTTTTTTCTTTTTCTTTTTTTTATCCAATTTTTTTTTGACTTGAGTGGCATATGATAATGATAGAATGCTACATTTGGCCTGTTTGGATGCAAGGCTGCCAAATGCATTGCCAATCCTATCTGCCAAATAACAAAAAACAAAAAAGAAGAAAATGTGGGGGAGTTCATATCTTGTTCTTATTTGCATCCTTCATTTTCTGAAACTGGGCTAATTTATAAGGGTAGGAATTGCCGACACAACACTAATTGGACACGAATTTGGTGGGTTAGGATCGACTAGTCCTCAACTTGAACACAAAATTGACACAATTCGATAAATCCAAAATTCAAACTTGTGTAACACTAAATTTGACACAATTAACCAATTTAATCTAATTGTTTTATTAATACTAACCTCATTCTATCCAATATTATTATATTTCTCTCAATACATTTGCTCAAATGCACTAATGTCAATTCCTATTTCTTATATGTTATTTTAATATATTTTTCCCTTAATTTAATCAAAACCATTGATTGAAGTCTTTATTATATGTTAAACATATAAATTGCGTTATTCATAGGAGATAGATCATTTGCAGACTCAGTGGAGTCAATTTGGAATTTGAAGTTTGAATTTTCTATAGGATTTGCTTAGAAGGAGAATTTGAAGCCTTCCATTGTTTTGGATTAGTCTCCTCAGCATTAGATTAAGAGGTCTGTACATCATAGTTTGTTTGAAATTATCGAAGTAGACTTGTTTGGCGTTTGGGTCTTGGCACCATGATGGTGTTTAGAATTTGGTTCCTTATTGCAGAATAATTTGAAGAATTGGTTCAATTGATTATGCAATCTGTTTTAGATAGGCTTTGAAAATCTAAAAATCTTAGAGATATTGATTTGTGATTATGTATCAATTTTAACTAGTATATAACTGTGGACACCCCATTTTTGACCGTCCTCAAGACTTGGACGTCATCGTTTGTGCACTTGATGATTGCACTTGTTTGTGTTTGTTTTGAGTGCCTGAAGTCCTCGGCGGAATAACTTGTCTTTGAGCCTCTAAACCTTATCTGTTTTGTGCATGTTTTTGGACCTAGAGCTTGTTGCCTCTAGCCTGGAAGAGATGGTGACATGTCGGCCAGCACAAGGATCCGTCGGCCATGGCTTGTACCTGTTGGCTACCAGTGGTGGTCGACGGCCATTGGTCCATTTTTTCAGATATTTGTTTGCCAGTTGTGCCAGCTGTTGCTCACTAAGCTGCATCTTCATACACGTGTATGGTAGGATGTGTTAAAGCTCAAGACTTGATTTTCTATATATAGGGGGGTGCCTCTCCCATTTTGGTGGGTTAGAAGATTTTGGACCAAAAATTTCTCTTTCTCTAGCTTTCTCTCTCTCACTTGATATTTTGTGCTTTGTAGTTAGTTTTCTCTACACTTTTGCACACCAACCCTTAACCAAACTTGATCACCATTGAGCTGAGATCCCTTGGAGTCTTGTTTGGGCTTTGGAAGGAGGTTTGAGCTTGGATTTGTGCGTAAATTGTGCTTTGCTTCTAAGGTAGAGTACTTACCTTATTTAAGCTTATTGTGCGTACTTATTTTCCTATCTTTTTCAAATGTTTTAAGGTTGTTTTTGAAGTGTAAAAAAATCTATTTTTGAGGTATAAAAATGGTGGTTTGAACCTTTTTGAGTTAGGGGTTGTCCACCTTTTTGGCTTCTTAGCTTGTTAAGCTTTTTATGCTTTTTTCCTCACTTTCAAAACAACTTTTTTGGGCCTTTTAGCCACTAAATCTCAGAGGTTTTTTAGTAGTAAAAAAAAACTTTTGAAGTCCAAAATTGGAAGGGTTAGCCTCCCCTCCTCATGTCTTGTTTGCATGCCTAGTTAGTTTCATAAGTTAGCATGTTTTTCTAGCTTACTTTAGCTTTTGTCCAGCATATTTTTGCCACTGTTTTGACCTGTTTTGGCTCTGTTTTGGGCTGGTTAATTCAGTTAAGGCTTGTATTGCATGGTTGTAGTGCAATTTCCTTCACTAGCTTAGTGTTTTAATATTTTGAGCACCATTGTTTTGAGTTAAAAACATGTTTTAGAGTTGTTTTGCACTCCATTTCAGCACTAAAATCTCTGCAATCTCCCTCCATTCTTCATTCTTTTGTTTTCTTTGAAAGTGGTTTCAAACCACTTGTTTGCCTAAGTGTGGAATTGAGGTGTTGCACCTAATGGTTTAATCCCTTAGGGGGTTCATTACCAACAATGTAATGTCTCTTTCATGCCCAAAGAAACTTTTGGTTTGGGCCATCTTCCCATTAGAGGACACTCACTTTTGGACTTAACCGATTAAAGAATGGATTGGTAATGTAAAATGAGTAAACAAAAAATGAACAAGTAAAAGAGGCAAGATAAACATCTTTTGTGTTGCGTTGCATGTGTTCGAATCGGACGTTAATTCGAACACGAAGAAAATGGGGCATTTCATACTCAAAGTAATGAAATATGCCACACTTTCCTTGGTCACCATCACCCTTGATCATGCATGATAGGGTGGTGGCCTTTTTGAGTCTTGTTTTGCATTCATTAAACTTGTACGAGCTTGGTTCCTTAGCCATCATGTATGAAAATTGCTTAGTTGATGGTTTGAGGGCCAAGAGTTACACTCCTTTGAGCTTGTGTGATGATAAGAAGGGTAATAGTACAAACGCTCCTTGAGAATACACTGCCTTGTCTCTATTTGCTCTCTGTTGCAGCAAAAAAGGAAGTTCAGGAAAGGGGTAGCCAACCGGCCACGAGCAGTAGCAGATGGCCACCATTGGTAGCCGATCGGCCATCAATGAGGAAAGTTGCCCAATGTGATGGAAAAGGGGAGCAGAGGTGTTCTAGAAGTTGGTAGCTTCTTTGGTGTTCAAGTGTGCAAACAGAGCCTTACAGCAGTGAGGCAGTGGCATTTTCGAGAGGAAACCAACCGAGCTTGCATATGTCCCTCGCCCCTGAGGCCATTTAGTTACTTTGCTTAGCTAATTAGGGGTAGCTAATTCATGCAAGTGTTGTAATTAATTAGTTAGTGTAACTAGTTCTTCAATTCCGGTTTGTAATAACTAATTAGCTTATAGTTAGTTAATTCATTTCAAGTGTTGCAATAGTTAGCTTAATTAGCGTAGCTAATTGCTTAGCTTATTCATTCGGACCCTCCTTCGTGAGGGCGTAATGTTGTAATAAGTGTGCGTGCGTGTGTGTATGTCTTCCAACCTCACGTATTTCTCCCTTTTATTTAATCGCTTTTGATGGTTAGATTAGGAACATTTTTTATTAGCATATCTTATGCTTACATGTTTGTACCCATTCATTTGTCTTGCATGCACCGAGGCTCGGTGCATCATTCAAACTGCATTGCAATTTCAATATCTTCGTTGAATGCGTGTTTAATAGCATGTTGTTCAAACCGATTCATATGCCATATTAGTAGCTGAGCCTATTAATTGCATATTGCATGTGTTGCATTAAGGATCTTGTATAGTTAGGATGCATATTTCTAACTAGTTTCTGTTTTGGCTTGAAGTACTCGATGAATTTTATACTTTAGCATACTTACATGAGTGTGATTTCCATGTTGCCATGTTTAGCATGTTTGTCATGGGGCTTTGTGCTTATATGCTAAACTGCATGAATGTCTGTGGATGAAGGCTTGTTGTTTGAATTGGATCAATTCAACAAATGCGTGTTTTAAGCCCACTTTGTCGTGGCAAAATCATGTTTTAAGCCCACTGTGTTTGGTGGCAAATCCGCATCTTTAAGCCCACTTAAGGGTGGCAAATTCAAATCATTTTCGCACAACAAATATGACTTGTAATGTTCCAATTCTTGCGATTTAGTCTATACATGCTTGTGCGCATCACATAGTAAAGCTAGTTTAATAATCAAAATAAGAGCACATAATGTTTATAAAAGAACATATCATAATGAGTAGAGGTCGATCTTTGATCGGGCGAGCGGGGATGCTCATTTCAGGACCTTCCCCTCTCGTATCCAAGTTCCCAAGCTGAGACAACTTTGGTGATGACGGATACGTGGCCTTTGGCACGAGTCAGGGTTTCCTAAATTTTTTCAAAACAAAATATTTAGGTGGCGACTCTGTATCTGGGAAAGTAGTCCAATTTTGGCATTATTTGATTTAAAATCAAGTTTCCAAAAAGGTTTTCCAGATTTGGACTCTTTGGAGTTTATCAGTTTCACATTGCACTTTGTGAGATTAAATTCAAAACTGTGGGAGTCCTAACTGTGAGGCCTTCTTTTCAAACCCTTTCCGAAAGGCGGAGCGCGGAAAAAGGCGAGTCCACAGTTTCTGGCGACTCTGCTGGGGATTTAGAGAACTTGACTCGAACTCATGATATGTTATTTTATCTACACTTGTGTGTTTCTTTGCACTTGCATTTGCATTAGTGCGCCTAAGTTACAGTGTTTGCCATATGCTATTCCTGAATGGTTTGCCGAAGGCTTGCTTGGAAAAGCTTGCCAAAAGGCTGACCGGTTACGGGCTCTGCCACGATGGGAACACAACCCTTGGATCTGGACTACCATTGTACCGTTTGATCCTCCTTTCACTTCTCGGTGTTAGGTGTGAGAGGTATATTAGGTAGTCTTGCTGAGGTACCCTTTTGACCAATCGGCCTAGTTGCATATCGGAAGCCATAGAGACCATTCCAAACTAGGACAGGTTGCTCACCCGAATACAGGATTGTGTGAAGCCACTTGTTGTGCATAGTGAAACCCTAGCTCCTGACAAAATTAGGACAGGGTAACCCTACTCCATCATAGGGGTGTTTTGGCTCTCACTTGCTTGATACGTCCTTTTAGAGTGAAACTCTGCAGGAATGTATGTATCAGTTGCAAGTCTGGGTATTAGTTTGAGGGTATCAGTTTTGGGGCAGAAATCAGTGTTTGAGTACAATTCTCCAACTTATGATTACAACTGCATGTTGTTTCTGTCTGAGCCAAGGTGCTGTGTGGTTTCTGATTTTCGTTTCTTTTGCTATATTTTCTTTTTGTAAGGTAGTCTTTTATTATTGTTTCAGATGAGTCTGTTACCCCCCAAGCACTTTGGACCCAAGTAAGGCGACTTTACCGATCTGGGGATCTTGTA